AACGTGTAATTATACAACACGCTACTGAAGTGAAACTTCTTCAAACACACAAACATACCGGGATGGGGGTTAAGGAATTGGTTTAATGGTATTATTTGTACACTATGCTTCGCACGGGTGCAATGCTGATAGTAAATATAATATAGAATGTTTTTATATACAACAATCACAGCTTTTTTGTCATTAGATAATACAAACCGGCCGGTACCGCCGCAACCGCTATGTCCCTGCATTTTGAGTCTGTAATATCTTCGAAAATATACATTTAAATTACATACTGTAAAGGCCATATTGATCTATATTAAATGCACAATGTATTTAAAAGTACTTAATTGGATAAGGATTAATGCTGTATCGCTTAAAATCGCTTGGTAAATATGCCATTATTTCTCATAAAAAGTAAAGAATTAAAAATGGTTATTGTGGTATGTCCCTATAAATTAAGTCTGTAATATCTTCGAAAATATTCATTTAAAATGCACAGTGTATTTAAAAGTATTTAATTGGATAAGGATTAATGCTGTATCGCTTAAAATCGCTTCGTAAATAAGCCATTATTTCTCGTAAAAGGTAAAGGATAAAAAATGGTTATTGTGGGTTATCCCTAAGAGATAGACATATACCATCGCGGACTTTTTTTGTAAACATTTCTAAGGTGTACAATACTGTAGTACATTATTTTGATCTATCTCGTAGGGTTCAGCCAGCGTTTGCAATGTAAGCGCAAAAAAAATGTTATTTACGACATCACATTACAAACCTCTAAAATTATCAGTATTTCTCTACTATATTATGCATGTATTATACATATAAACCTTCCTCTTGAATCACTCTATCTATTAAAAGAAACCGCATTAAAATCCGTTGCGTAGTTTTAAGGATCTAAGCATACATAGGGACAGGCAGTGGGGGAAAAGTGTTGCATGATTTCGTTACATAGCAACACGCATGAAACGAANTTAATTAATATCAAATAAGTATTATTTTGTACTAGGTACTTTTCTTCACGTCCATGGCACTTCCTTATGTATTTTTTAAAACGCAAAATCTCATTAATCTTACATCACTTATAATATTTTGGATTGCATGTACACAGACTAATAGAACCCATTAAATAGTTGCATTCGCAGGTATTGGTATGACGATAAGCGTGATAGTTGCAGCCGTTTTCATTATAAAGTTCAAATATGGTAGAAGAAACGCAAGAAATCCGTCGGCCTGTTGCAAAGTCCATTTTACCAAAACGGATAATAACAACAGTTGTAACGTAGCAGTAAATGCCGATTGCACAAACGTAAACAACGTCTTTCAAGGAGTCGTTTCGCCAGGTACGTCCACATTTCAGATGCTTAAGATACATGCCGCTTTTATTGTTTCCGCATTTTTCACATGTACACGTATTATACATGTGCCCGAGAAAACAAATCGATTCAAGAACCGAAGAAAACATCCAATTGAACTGAACAAAAACAACGTGCTGAAAACGGCGAACAGACAACAGATGTTGCTCAAAAAATTAAAAAGGAAACATCCACTTTCTAAAGAAATAAAGGAGTAAATACAGGTTAATAATACAATATCAATTTGGGCCTAGTAGTCCCATTTTGCTGTCCATTTGTAATATTGCAGTAATTTTGAGTCGCATATTCAGGTTATTTAATTTTAAATAATGATTCTCCTTCGGAATACAAAGATTCTTAACCACAATATATACCAAATGAACAAATTCAGTAGCCAGTGGGGTGACTTGCAGAGATATTGCTCCCACTAGTAAAACCCTCTCCCGGGGAACGCTGCTGGGTTTCAGCGAAGATTTTTAAAATTGCAGAAATGGAGAAAGCAGTTCTCTCTCCATTTTGTGTATTTTGTATGAAGCTCTATTTATAGTTTACAACCTGAACAAAATTTACATCATTATCATAAGGTCATTAACGTAAAGAATGGTTGGAGGTAACCGGGACAGAAATTCTCCACGGTGGTACACACCTCCCCGCCCCCATGGAACACAGCCTGAATTCAGCGAAAATTTTTCAAATTGCGGAAATGGAGAAATCAGCTTCTCTTCATCTTGTAGGTTTTGTTTGAAGCTCTATTTACAATTTACATTTTGAGCAAAGTTTTTATCACCCTGATAAGTTCATTAACCCGAAGAATGGTTAGGGGTGACCGGAAGAGAAATTCTTCCAAATAGTATAAACTTCACCGCGCCAGGGAACGCCACCTGAATTCAGCGAAATTTTTTCAAATTGCAGAAATCGAGAAATCAGTTTCTCCTCATCTTGTAGGTTTTGTTTGAAGCTCTATTTAGAATTTACAACGTGAGCAAAGTTTTTATCATAATTATAAGGTCATTAACCCGAAGAATGATTAGGGGTGATCGGGAGAGAATTTTCCCCCTTGTAGAATACATAAACTCCCTCCCCATCGTGAAATATTGTCTGAATTCGGCGAAAATTTTTTAAATTGCAAAACTGGAGAAATCCGTTTGCTCATCTTATGTTTTTTGTATGAAGCTCTATTTACTGCCATACAACCTAAACAAAGTTTTCATCATCATCATAAGGTCTTCAGCTCGAAGACTGGTTGGAGACGAACCTTCATTTCTTCCTATCTTGAGCAAATCCTCGTACTACTTTGAAACCCGAACAGTAACCTAGTCTAACCTCTTAACTTCTACTTCTGCTCCTAATAGGTATGCCTAAGTAGTCCTCCTTGTCCGAGAAAGGTGTCTTATCAACTCATCTCGCCTATTTCTTATTGATTTCCATAATGCTCTCTGCTGTCCTACTCCATCTAATACCTCCTCATATTTAATCTTTTCTATCCACAATATCCAAATTTTAAACGCTTCCACGTTTCGTACCCATACGGGGGGAACGTGTACCTCTTTAGAAATTGTTTCAGAATTTACAAATTAAGCAATTTCGAGCACAAAAGTGATTTCCTTTTATTAAAATCGTCTCTTATTTTTATATTAGTTCTAACCCTACTTTAACGTCCCTTATATATACTAATACGTTGTTTGATATTTATTAATTTTTATACCATACTCTTCCATCAATACCGCTTCCATATTTTTAGGTAACTCTAACTCCTCCTTGCTTGATCCTCACACTGCTATATCTATTATCCGCAAATCGGAAAGAAGGTTAATCTTTTACTCCGGTATGTCTAACCCTAAGTTTTCATGTTTACAATATCTTCGTTGTATAAATTAAAATGTAGTGGTGACAATATACACCCTTGTCTAGCTCCTTTCTTAATATTTACTTCTATATTACGTTACTTAAATTCTGTAACTAGCAGTTATTTATCTATCCCTAAATCCTATCCTTCTTCTAGCTTCTTTCTTTTTTCTATCGTTTTCTCAACTAACATCTGTAAATTTATATGATCTTAAGGAGTTCTCCTGTTTCTTAATTTAAAGTTTTACAAACTGCTTACATTAATTTTGGCAACTTACAGTCATCTAGAAAATTATATCAAAACTGGAAAAGCTTCTGTATTTAATGAAGAATTACAGTGAATGAATCAGAAACCACAACTAAGTACCTATGGTCAAAAATGGTACATCAAATTAAAAATTCTATTGATCACTCTTCCCCTATTTTGTAATCAGTGGTTTAATCAAAGCAATATTGGGGTTAGACGTATCCCAATATATTAAATATCAAATTAAAAATCTTTTTAGCGATAAAGGAGTCTCATTTTTTTCTTTCCTTCACCTCTCATACCTTTACTTACCTCCTGCCTTTTAGGCATGCTTTTTTTCTTTTTTCTATAACATCTTTCATTCATTCCATGTACCTGTATTCACTAGGATTTCCATTCTCCTATCTACCCTTGTGTTTTCACATTGTATTATTGCATGTTACACCGTTTCCGGTGCACTCCGGCACTTTCTGCATGCTCTGTTCACAATTTGGTACATTTTTATATAACTTCAAATTGAAAAGCTATTTATCTATTTTACAATATCAACTAATTTACAATAGTTATATGTACATATTGCCATGTATATGTAGATATTTATTGCTTTACTATAGTACTTATTGTTAATAATTTATTGTTGTTTATTTTACACTAACTCAACTCTGTTCAATAAGTTGCCTACAGGTAATTATAAAATGAAAATTTCCCGGAAAAATAAATTACTAACTACTTAAGTACCTACGTATTTTTTATTTGTTAATGTTGTATCAAGCTAATAAGGGCAGCAAATAAAAACTAATAATACCTAATAAGTTGTAAATCTATCCGATTGAATTTTTTCTAAAAATTATTTATTTATTTAAACTTAATTACTGCATTTTGTATAAACTTTATTAAAAAAACAGTTTTTTATTAAAAAAATAATTTCACCAGGCTATTATGATTTTCTTGTTATATAATAGGTTTGAATGTGATGAGTATCAATTCATTACATTGAAAGAAGTACATAAAGTAATATTATGTTTTACTTGNTAATTTTGTTTCTTCTTCTTTATTAATGAAAAGTTTGAATTTCAAAGACAAATTTGTTATTATTTATATATGTTCTTTCAAGCAATTTACACAAAAAAAAGCAATTACATTAATTTATTTTATTTCACTCTCCTCACTCAATTTTTTCAAAAGTTGCCACAAAAGTAGTAAAATAATGTTTTCACATATGTGAAAACGTTTTAATTTGCGATTTATTCAAGGAGCGTTCGTCTCTTATTATGTCTGTAATTCCAAATGGAAATTAGTGTTACATATGTAAATAAGCGCGAAATCGCTTCGCAAAAGGCAAGATAAAGTTGTCAACAGTGGCATCCGTTCGAAGACGATAATACATCTGTTATAATCTATTTAACAGTCCGCTAAAAGAATTGTAATTAATTTTCGATCTAACAACAGCATAAGAGTGTGTTGTGTGGATATATATTTATAGAAAATGTTTTCTTACAAATTCGGTTTATTAATCTTGGGTTTCATCCTTATCGCAAAATCGGAGGGGGCCTATAATGCAACTCACGGTAATTATTCAAAAGTTCATCACAATGGTACAAGATTTTCTGGACTTTGTACAGTAGAAGTGCCGTAAGTACCTATTTTTTGTTCGATTAAAAAATAACGTAACTTTAGAAGTATTTAAAAATTTTGAATTATCCACAAATTATATAGGATATACTCAAAGTTTTAAATAAAAACATAACCGAATTATAACTTAAGTTCCTTATGAAAAAAAAAAGATTTTAATTATTGTCAAATGCAAATTTCTTATTTGTATACATTTACATTATGATTTTCTTGTTATATAATAGGTTTGAATGTGATGAGTATCAATTCATTACATTGAAAGAAGTACATAAAGTAATATTATGTTTTACTTGTTCATTAATTACTGTATCTGATTTGTTCAAGTGACTCCGTGGCGCAACGGTAGCGCGTCTGACTCCAGATCAGAAGGTTGCGTGTTCAAATCACGTCGGGGTCAAACACTCTTTTTGTCAAACCTTATTGATTTTTCATTGCTAATTATCAATTACGTTTTTGTGAATATGTTATCAGCCATGTTCTTTTAGATTTATTGCAACATCAAGGAACTTTGTCAAAAGGATTAACATTTTCCACGGTACCAGAATTAGTGGATTTCTCAGTCAAATTTTCATCTAACGTTTGCGAAAAATCTTCTAGTGGAGAAAACATTTACGATGAGATACGAAGTTGCAAGGAAGATCCGACTTTTTCTAGTTTTTATGTAAATTTTAACAGTAGTAGTAATACATGTTCGTAATAATATTTTTTTTTATTTTTACTACATACTGGATTCTCTCCCACATTTCCGCATAATTTCTTAAAATTTATGATTTATTTCCATTTAATAATGTGAACAAAATTATATAGTTAATCATTAAATGCCTACACAGGTAAGGCAAAATGCTAATCGAACAGGCATAGGGCATCTCCCATTATGGCTTGTTATTATAAACATACATACAGAGCTTCTCTGTCTATGTATTTATTATTTTGTATTTCAGTGGGAAAAATTTTATAGGTATTAATAAACCTAAAACTGATTGTCTGATTAGGTCTAATTGTTTTAAAGCTGTGCATATCCTATCCGGTCCAAATCAGGCAAATTGATCAGGGTCAAATTATATAACCTAATCAAGACCAAATAGGGTAATAGCCCAATCGGGGGCAAGTTTGGTTGCCTGATTAGACTCAAATGTTTTAAGATGTTACATATTTTCAACATCATAAAGTCGTTAGACTAAGTCTCGTTGGACACGCACCTCCACTCTTTCCTGTTCTGAGTTTATCTTCGCATTTCCTCAAAACTAGAACATCCCACATGTCTTTTTTCTGCCTTCAATATGCCTCTCACTAGACCTTCATGCCTAAGAAGGTGTCCTACCAACCTATCTCGCCTATTTCTTATTGTCTTCCATAAAGTCCTCTGTTCTCCTACTCTTCTTAATACCTTATCAATTCTAACCAGTATCTTCATCATTTATTTGTAACGCTTCTAACCTTTTCTTTTCCGCCGCGCCCACCGTCCATGTTTCGTACCCGTACAGTGCCGCATTCCAAACACACTTTTAACAATCCTTTTCGAATTTCTAAATTAACCATTCGCGAGCATAGAAGTGACTTCTTTTTAATGAAGACGACTCTCCCCTGCGCTATCCTCTGCTTTATATCCCTACTATTCCTTCCGACTTGACTTACCTGACCTCTTAGATACTCCTATCTTTATATTCTATTCCTATCTTTATATTCTCCCTTTCTCTACATTTTCTTCCCTTGCATACCAGTATTTTTGTTTTACTTTTATTTATTTTTATACAATACTGTTACATATCTTATCCAGTTCCAATCAGGTGACCTGATCAGGGCTAAAATATATAACCTAATGAAGTAATTACAAGGCGTTACATATCTGATCCGAGCCATATCAAAATTATATTATCTGGGTCTTATTAGAAGTCAGGTATGTAGAACAAGACACAGATCGCAAACAAATTTCCAGTCAGGTATCCCACCCCTGCTTTTCTGAAAACCGTCCTAAACTAATCGAACTTTCAAGATGTTTTGAACAAAGTATATACCACTCTTACAATGAAAGATGCCGTTCTTTGATGATTGCAGGTAATTAAATATACCTAATCAAAGCGCAGCTAACGCCGGGTATTCGGTTTTTAGACCAAAAATTATTATTATTATACTTTTGGTTCAAATGACATAACAAAGGTAGAAGCAGAAGACATTTTATTACTAATTATTCTCAACAAATAATTGAAAACAAACAAATAATTAGATTGCAGTTAATGCATTAAAAACATATCCAATCCGATACATTCAATAAATAATAAATATGATTATATATATCTGTGTACATCAGTATGTACGCCTCCCACTGGCTAAAATTAATATTCGTAATTTTGTTTCTTCTTCTTTATTAATGAAAAGTTTGAATTTCAAAGACAAATTTGTTATTATTTATATATGTTCTTTCAAGCAATTTACACAAAAAAAAGCAATTACATTAATTTATTTTATTTCACTCTCCTCACTCAATTTTTTCAAAAGTTGCCACAAAAGTAGTAAAATAATGTTTTCACATATGTGAAAACGTTTTAATTTGCGATTTATTCAAGGAGCGTTCGTCTCTTATTATGTCTGTAATTCCAAATGGAAATTAGTGTTACATATGTAAATAAGCGCGAAATCGCTTCGCAAAAGGCAAGATAAAGTTGTCAACAGTGGCATCCGTTCGAAGACGATAATACATCTGTTATAATCTATTTAACAGTCCGCTAAAAGAATTGTAATTAATTTTCGATCTAACAACAGCATAAGAGTGTGTTGTGTGGATATATATTTATAGAAAATGTTTTCTTACAAATTCGGTTTATTAATCTTGGGTTTCATCCTTATCGCAAAATCGGAGGGGGCCTATAATGCAACTCACGGTAATTATTCAAAAGTTCATCACAATGGTACAAGATTTTCTGGACTTTGTACAGTAGAAGTGCCGTAAGTACCTATTTTTTGTTCGATTAAAAAATAACGTAACTTTAGAAGTATTTAAAAATTTTGAATTATCCACAAATTATATAGGATATACTCAAAGTTTTAAATAAATACATAACCGAATTATAACTTAAGTTCCTTATGAAAAAAAAAAGATTTTAATTATTGTCAAATGCAAATGACTTATTTGTATACATTTACTTTATATTAAAAGTAAAACAACTGTGTTGACCTCATACAGGAGGGTCATTTATTTCTTTATTAATCTGATAATGTACTAATTTTGGATTAATCATGTTAAAAACATTATATAATTGTATAATAATTGATAATTTACATGTTGCAGCCTGCTCGTTTCTAAAATCCAAAACATTACATTATTATAAATTCAGTTGCTTCAGTTCAAAATTTTTCAAATAAAACATTTTCAAAACTTTCCCGAGACAGTTTTTTTATGTTTATCATTCATTATTATATATTATATAACAGTTAAAAGTGGAATATGTATTAAAAAAAGCAAATATAGATAGGTATATACATTGTATTTTCTGTAATGTATGTATAATCCTACACAGAAAAAGCCTTGAAATTACGAAAAACATTAGGTCATCAATTTTTCTGAGAAGGAAGTGGGTGGAGCGTATGCAATCTAACAAGTTTCTATAAAATTTCAGAACCATAGAATTATTGAGTGAAGAAGATAGAAATGGATATGTTCCTCCTGGTAATGGGGTAAGTACAATATCCGGCAATCAATCATTTTTATGCACCGTTTACAAAAAAGTATAGGATGTAAGATAAAACATCAATACCACGGCTTTTCCGAAAACTCATCTTGATTTAATTAATGAAACAGAAAAATTTAGTGTAGCATTTCACATAGTTGATAATAGACGCTTGTATAAATTTAATTAGAAAGGTAAAGAGTCTATAATTCTTTCTTTTTTGATTGGCCAATCAGGGGGAACCGTCAAAACAAGATTTAAAGAGCATCGGACGGTATTCTTAAACGTAAAAGCACGATAGGCATTGCTGTGTAACATTATACTATAAAAAACCAGGATGTCAATACATATAGTAGATAAAAGGTAGAAAACACACTTCTAGAAAATTTCGGAATTAAAAAACTAATTGCAAACAACATCAACTTTATAAACAATCAAATGGAATTATTGATAAATCCACCGGTTCGATTTCGAGTCCGGCTGCACTGGTTCAAATGTTTCTGTGGTTCCTTTGATCATTTATTCGACAAATGTAGAGGTATAGTTGGGACGATCAAAATTGGTAAAGTCCGCAATAAATTATCTGTGAAAATCGACGTATCACTCTTTCTTACTTATTTCCACTTGGGATTGTAGTAATTTGTTGCGTTCTAAACATGTCCTTGTTAAGTTAGGAAATGCTTCATGAGTGAGTGGTACAGAGTAAATAGAGATAACCGAATAAAAGTAAGCGGTGCAGTGATTAGAGATTGCTCAAGGACGTAAAAGGTCAGGGTCGGCTTTATAACTGCCTGGTTAGAATTATATCTTTAAACAAGCGTCTTTAGTTTCCTGGATTCCTAAGAATCTTCAACTTTTTTTAAAGTCAGATGCTGACACATTAATTGGTGTAATGGTATTCCTATTTATTGGTGACCGCTGCAATTCCTACCTGACATCTCTTTTCTATGTTCAAAATATTCCCTACAATCTGTCGTGTGTAAAAGTAGGCGTTTTGTCAGCAACTGTTCTAGTCTAGTATGTAAGTTGAAAGAAGAAAGTATTGTTCATTTCAAGAAGTTGGAGATATGCTCTCTCCCTTTATTAGGATGCGCCGTAGCATAATTCCAAATTCAATCATATTTGTCTGCGTAGCTCATTTCTTCACAGATCATCGAGCGAGAGCTAGACAAAAGTGTACAGTACCATTTGCAAAATTATTTAAACTGCCTCGTTAAGATTTAAGAATATGCTTTATCTAAAAGCATATTTAGCCAAAAATAATAAGAAGTGAATTAACTTAACGTTCTACACACTTATAAAACTTTTGCTTTGTTTTCTATTCTTAATTTATATGCATTTTTGTTTTAAGAAATTGCTAAACATTTTCGTCTAGTACTGTATAGTTCTAGCCGATCTCCTAAGACCGTCCATCGAGAGCTCTGCTCGTTCAAGCTTGTTCCGACTATTTCTGTCTTGCTCACGCCTAGTGTGTATTCTTTCTATCTTCGCGCAGATTTCTTCAAGGTCACAATTCTAACATATTGAAATGGGCTGTAAATGCGACAGTTTTATTGATACATTCGATACTGTAAATTTCAGCTTTCTTTTGGGTTCTAATTTTATTTTTTGATTAATTAAAAGACATTATATTATAAAGTATTTGTCGGGCTGTAAACTGCTGTCAAGTTAAAGAAAAATCTGTTGGTTTCAATTTGAGACTTTTTTTGTTACAGTCTAAACCCGGTTACAGTCGAATTTTCGAATGTTGTAAAGGGTACCGTCCAATACCACACACATTCCGCCACTGCGAACCCATCTGCGAAGACGGTTGCGTGAATGGGAATTGCACCGGACCAAACGTGTGCGTATGTTGGCCAGGGTTCGTGCGTGACTTGGACGACAACTGCGTACCAACATGTCCGAAAAGTTGTCTAAACGGAGAATGCACTTCCAACGGAGTTTGCGTTTGCCACGATGGGTATGTGTTGGAACAACATGGAAGATTTTGCATACCCCATTGTCGCGGAGGGTGCGGAGTTGGAGGAAACTGCACTGCTCCAGAACATTGCGAATGCCAAAAAGGGTAAGTGACAAAGTAATTAAAGATGCACCTACCAAAAAAACTCCTTTACTTTGCGGTGAAAAAACGAGGCAACAGTTTTTATTTCTAGATTACCTATTTCTAAAATTAATTAGACTTGCAGAGGGTGTGAACTACAATGTGGTACGAAAATATCTAAAAAGAAATCTTTAAACCTTCCTGCTCTATGACGATATGTTGACAAAATAGACCATCTTAAAACATTACGCCCCGATTCTTTGAAGTCACAAGAGATTTGTCTAGTTAAAAAATTAGGCATTAGACATAGCTTGTCATCATCATCAAAAGGTCCACGTTTTCCTATCTTCAGCTAATTTTCGTATTTCCTTAACAGTAACACGTCCTACGTCCTTAACTATTAATAAACAGTAATCTAATCTAGGTCTACCTCTATTCCCCTTTCTACTAGCCTTTTATGCCTGAGAAGATGTCATACCATATTTCACCTATTTTTTATTGACTTCAACAGTGATCTCTGTTCTCCTACACTTTCTATAGTAATACCTCCTTAATTCTAACCTTGTCTATCCATTGTTTCCTTCCTCATTATTCGCTTGTATTAACACCACATTTCGAACAAAGGATGTCATAAAAAATTTTGAGAGAGTTACTATTTGTGTAATTTGAATTTGGACTTACGTTTAGTAAGTGAGCTTAAGAAAATTATATTGTGAAAACACAAAAGGAAAGAATGTACTCTTTAAATTGGTGTACCTAAATATTCGAACTGCGTATCAATATCTGTTGAGAAAATAGAGGTGCGCCATTAGGAAAAAGAAAAGATATATGTAGTTAGATGTGAAAATAGTTGTGTAACTGTTCATAACAGTTTTGAACGGGTTATAGGTTTATTAAACATATGTAGTTCAATTATGCAATGTAAAGAAAGTGCTGAAAAAGGAATATAAAAAACAATTTCAAACAAATTATGGTGACGTTTGGTATTATGGCGACGTTTGACATACAAAAACTTCGTTTTTTGAATTAATGACTGGACTACTATTGGAAGTACTTAGTAAAACTGACAACACAAGGTATCTTTGGAGGGTTGTACGTTGTCCGTTATTGATTTTAAAAACCGGGTGCATTTTTGACTTTTATTCTTATGTTGTTTCTCTGCTTCTTCGGTTTTAAATTATTTTTTAAACTATATTTACGAGTATAGGTATTTTTGATGATGTTGCAAAATATATTAAATTTTGATAATTAATCGTTGTTGGGATAATTTTTTTGGGTAGTACCTATGTTTATCTTCGTTCTTATTATTGACAGTCACAAAGTACAACGGATTATGAGACAAAAATCTAAACTTTTTATTGGCCTTCTCTGCCTACATATGCCTACTTCTACTACTACTTCTTCCTATCTCAAACACAAGTAAAGCTACACCTTTAGCCATTTGTAAGTAATTATATAATGTAGGTCTACCTCTACCCCTGTTAACTCCTTTTTCTACTTTCAATACAATGTTTCTAACTGGCTCTTCACGTCTGAGCATTGACTTCTATAAGGGTCTCTTTCACCTACTCTTTCGATAGCACTTTTTCGATCCTGAGTTATCTGACCCATAAATATCGAAAATCAGCAACAAGAAAATCCTGGATTTTCGCTATAGACACAGTCTAGTTATTGAACATTGAGAAACCAACAGATTGAAAAAGATAGCACCACTATTCAACCCATTTTGATCATTGACTTTCTCGATTTATTTTTTTTTTTTTCAGATTCCATAGAAATGAAGTAACTGGAAAATGTGAGTATTACTGCGAAGGAGGCTGCGGCGGTGGTACCTGTGTGGGTCCCAACAAATGCTCTTGTAAACAAGGTTATGTACAGAAAAACGACCTCACATGTTCACCTTCATGTCCTAGGGGATGCAAAAATGGACTTTGTACCGCCCCCAATGTGTGCTCGTGTAAGGAAGGGTGGATTTTGAACAAGAACGGTATACAGTGCGATCCACAATGCTCGGAACCATGTCTTAACGGTCAGTAACATTTATCGAACAGTTGTATGTTTTATTGGATACATTAACATTGAAAACATTCTCGAAAATGGGATTTGTTATTTAAATATAATTTTTAACTCGAAACATCTGTGAATACGTGAAAATCCTTAAAATTGTTTTAGAGAAATCGATTAAATCATACCGGACTTGCTCGTATACTACAAAATTTTTTCTTTTTATTTCAGGTGTCTGTGTAGCCCCAAACGCATGCGAATGTTTCCCTGGATACATCAAGGATACAAGTTCGTTATCGGGTAATAAATGTGTGGCGCACTGCCCAGAGGAATGTGTAAATGGGCAGTGCACTAGACCTAACTATTGCATCTGCAATCTGGGATACTTGAAAAAATCGAAGAACAGCAACGTATGCGTCAAAAGGGAACGTCGATCGGTGATTCACTGGGAACTAATTCTGCCAGAAAAAAAAGGAAAACACATTACCTACTAAGAAATTAATAAATCATCAAACCAAAGTTGAACTTTTCAATTTAGCATTTGTAGCTGTTACTGTAGATATCCTTGTACAATGTTCATTGTTTTTGTTCTGAAATACAGAAGCTGACGTAAAACTGTTTATTATAATAAAAAAGCTTAATTGTTGAGAAAACCGGATAATTATTTACTATGCTCACAACATTTAGTGGAAGTATCATATAAATCTGTCCGACAGTTATGACGTAAATCGTATTCAAAATAGCCAAGATAAGTTGCTTATGCCATTTTTAAATTTAAACTGTAATAAATGATAAGTATAATAAATAAATCAAAACAAATAGACTTTTTAAATACCTACTATCTATTGAAAAGGAAATGCTGCCTTTGCGTTTAGTAAAGAACCTTCAGCTCTTGTAGTATCCAAATAGAAGCAGGGATCTCATTAGCACGTTATAGGTAGCAAAAAAACTTTTGGGTGTTTCGTTTCCACCGGCTAACAATGCTAGTGGGCGGTCAGTATTTTCGGACCTTCTAGGAATCATGGGAATGGGTGTAGGTGTTGGTTGGTGTGACAAAAATGAGAGAAACGAAACTCATTGATTCAAGGAAAAACCCGGAATCGAACCGGTGTCCTCCCGAATGCTAAGCAACGATCTGAACCTCTAGGTCATGCCGTCATGAACTCATGAAGCTTCAAGAAAGCGAGTTCACGTAATACCTAAATAGAGGTAGTGTATCGCCATCTACTATGTATTTGCTGCTACTAAAATATTTCAAGCGTAACACCTGGTTTTACTAAGATAACTTGAAATACCTCAGATGAAGAGCTTAAGCGTTCTTTTTCAGTAATTTATCAAAACTGCCAAAAACGAATCATGATTTTGAGCTTTAGTTCCTATCAGCACACCATGGGCATCGACCAAAACGAAGATGTTCCGCAAAATGAGCACCTATATATATACAATACCATAGTATTGTCACGTCTAGGTCACCCAACACGCATCGTCTTGATAAACAACTCGGTGGATAACTACAAATATTACTCGGTCCGTTGTAATCTAACCACCGTTCAGCCTGAGGAATCCTAGGAAGATAACGAATTAATCAAAGATCAGAGGAAGGACGAAAATATTATCCTAATAATGAAATGGAAATAATCCAGAATCTCAACACTATCGTAAACAGACGTGAACCATCTAAGCCAGTCAACGAAAAGAGTTTGGGTCCAGTGGAACTGTCTTATCTCGAATTACGATATTGTAGGCAATCCAACATACATAGTGACAAAGGAGACCAGGTTTCTAGACTGCATATACTGGATCATTCTAGAAACACGGCCAGCCTCTATAAATAGTTGTCGCGAGATCGAGTGCAGTCAGTACGAGTTCGAGGTACGTGGTGATACCGAGCGGAGAAGAGAGAGCAAATAAGTAACAAAGTATTCATATAGTGGTGAATTGATAACTAATTAACAGTAGACAGCAAATAGTTAAACAAAGGTAGTAATAGAGCGAGAAGGTGTTTAAATACGTAACAATATTTTAGAAAGAGAATGTAGGAGAGTTCAGGATGGAACTAGAAATAAGCTTCAAGTGGTACATACGAAGAAACGAATTTCGAGGCGAGAATTCTCGAGAAATTTGTCTTTAGTCGAGACGGGAAAAAAGCTCAACATGCTAAAATTAACAAAATATGATTAAAAGCTAATTATGATTTGTTTAATCGAAAAACTGTGATGTTATTAACATAATAGTTTATAAATACAGAAGGCATTTTTAGTTTAAGTTAGTAGCTGAATCTTTGTTTATTAAACAAGTTTTTATAAATATCCAAATATATACTAGTAATTTTACTGATNATCATAATATAAACAATAATATGTGTTTTTTAGGAAATCGCTACTTTTGCTAACATCAATAGTGGCAAGTCTCTTGGTAGGAATTACAATTTTAATATTATTTGTTATATGGAGGCGCTACAAAAAAATTTCATACAAAATCAAAAAATCGTCATCAGATGAGGATTCAACAGGTGAGTGAACTCATCTACACACTGTAAAATTGAGAGTTGCAATATAACTAAATGCGGTACAAGCTACTGGTTTTCATTTATAACATACAGTACCCCGACTAGAAATTTGAGGGGGGTGCATGTAGAATCCTTAAGTGGGTAGATCACTACCTCTTGTGGGCCCCATGAGGTTGCCTTCTAGGGCCAGGAAGGGGCATATGACGCCTTGCCGCATTTGCGCATCATTAGGAATGCCGCATGTGCCCCCCGCGGGGAAAATTTATTGCTACCACATTAAAAAATTTTGGAAAAATGAACTTTATTATTATTGCAACATCAACTTGAAATCACTTTTCGAAATTAATTAATGAGGAAAATATTTTTGTTGCTGTTATCACCCCCTTGCCGGGAATCGAACCCGGGACCTTTGGCTTTACGCACCAATGCTCTGACCAACTAAGCATTGCACACCTATTACGTATTTTGTGTTAATCAGTTGCAACCAATTTTTGATTGAACGAGATTTGTCATAAAAAACTATATTTCAGATGCTACAAAATTCTGTCCCTACAATCCTAAACAATCCAATCCGCACGATGGGAAAGTGCCCACCAGTTGGTTGTACAAAAAGGGAAGTGAAACGGTAGAGTTAGTGAATTAATGAATATGTATCCACACGTAAGTATTAGTGGCTGGTGGGAATGGAACACTCTAAAGTATGAAATTTGCAACTTCGATATATGGACTAAAAATAAGGGCTGAGAATGTGCATTTCTTCCTAACATCCTTCCTAAGATATGTAAAAATATTTATAGAAAACATTGGTTTCTAAAACCTTTTGAAAAAGATATGTATACAATACGATAATGGCCGTTTACAACACGTTCTTACAATTACAATTTCATATTCTTCTCAATAACATCAAACACAAATATTATCTTCTATTAAAGCACCAGCCTTTGCTCTGGCTCACCAAGTGGTCGAACTGATAACGCAGAGAAATTTGCATGTTGAACGATGATAAAAATACATGAATATAGCACACATAATAGTTATATATATTCAATACAAATACAAATAGAATACACTATGTATCCCGGTAAAAAGGCTTACATGTATTGTACATAAGCATGATCCTACCGAAGTGTGTCATCAACGACCAAAGAAGTTGTCCTAAATGTATACTTATTGTTCATTTGTGTACGTTCACTCTTCCTTGCCGATTAATTAATAATTGATCTAATAATGATTACTTACTATTACTACTCCGTTTTTATTTTTCAAGTTTTATGTGTATCAATTAGTTTTAAATTTGTTGTTTCCGAAGCTGGCGTCTGTACCACAGTGGAAAGGTAAGAAAATCTATACAAATTCCTACTTCTGTAATAGTTCTCTAGGGAATAAAGAATACTGAAAAAAACTCTAAATTTATGTAAATCCTTTTTATCTAATTCTAATTATATTCTTCTTACTAGTGAATATAAATAAGCCAAAATGATAAGTACCTAACCAAAATTTTATTTTCTGTTTTGTTCTCAAATATTAACCCACCAGTATGTAGGTAAAAATAGATTCCGAGATGCTCTTAGTACCAACATCCTGAAAAGTTCAAGCAACTTCAGTCGTGAGGCTTTTACTTTTAGGGAGTTAAAGGGGTTATTTTTAGTTTTTGGCATTATCTCGAAAATTATCCGGTTTTCGACTAAGATAGTAACGTTTTAGGGTTATAATTTATACGTAAGGTCCGGCGAATTTTTTAATCACGTGACCACCATCGCAGATGAATTGGCAGTTTTATTCAGCAACGGTAAAGATGATGAATATTTCGACTGTATGCATCAATTTTATTTTTTATTAGAACACACATAAAGGAAAGACCGTTTAATTAATTCTGGGGGTAGTTTATAGCATTATAAGGAGTATTCCTTCTACAATATAGCAGCAACTTTTTTGGCCTGTATCGGAAATCTTTCTGAGTAAAAATGAGGGCACTCCCCAATTTTCAAATATGTATAATTCCTTTGTTTCGTTTATCCTAATTTGTATTGTTTATTGATTACTGTATTAAGTTATTTCTTATTTCGATGTACTGGTATGCAAGGGAAGAAAATGTAGGGAAAGAGCAAATATTACGATAGGAGACGAAAAATTAGAAGAAGTGACTGATTTTAGGTGTCTAGGAAGTCAGATAAGTCAGGATGGATGGAGCAGTAGAAACATAAAAACGCAGGGTAGGTCGCCTGTAACAAGAAAAGATATTTTTTTTGCTCGCGAACGGTTAATTTAGACAAAAATTATGTCTAGAGCATGACTCTGTATCAGTGCTAAACGCGAACGGTGAAAGCAGCTAAAATATAGATAGAAAACGTTAGAACTGAGGTGGTATTAAAAAAAAGAGTAGGACAATAGATAGCGCTATGGAAGTCAATAAGAAATAGGTGAGATAGGTTGATAGAACACCTTATCAGACATTAAGGGCTAATTAGAGATATATCAAAAGCAGAAACAGTAGTTAAAGAGAACAGAGGTACACTTAGATTAGATTACTGTTCGCAAATAGTTAATAATGCCGGATGTTCTAGTTTTAGCGAAAATAGGAATGAGTGGAGCAGAATTAGAATTAATGACCTTATGATGATAATGATATTTCAATATAGTTCTTGTTTTTCTCTTCCTCGTGAACAAAAATACATCAGTACCTACTGTCGAACTATCACAATTTCTGTCGCTTGTTAGTATATCAGATTCCAATTAACGATAACTTATTAGTACAGACTCTTTTTCAACGGTTTCACCTCGACCGTCTGGTTGAAAATCCCCCAAACAAAAATTAAAATTTCTTTGGTTTAGTATTTAAAAGACTTTTTGTTGCGACTTAATGATTGGCTTGGGACGTATACTATGGTAAGGGTGGCATTTAATGGTAAGCTCACTAGAATGAAGACACGAACCTTTAACTGTTGTGGTTTTGCAGGGTACCCTACCATAATATCTCTCGTTTAAGCTCGTCCCCTATTCGAAATTATTCGAAATTCTTAGAAAAATGAGATTCAGTTGCAGTTTCGGATAGACATCCATTAGTTTGGGTTACCGTTACGAAGCTCCACGACATTCCTAGTTTGCAACTAATTAATGTGCGTGTGGAACAGTAGATTACGCACTACGAAGCAAAAGTGGGGAAGTAGGTTACTTTTACGCTGAGGTGCCTTGCTATTTTTCGTCACATCTATGCCGGAAGTTCGAGCATTCGTATCTCATCGGTTAGGGTGTCAGCCGACCCACGGTGCGGAATCGTCTAGTTTCGGCCCATTGTGCATTTCTTTCGGCTTCGTATAGAGGGATGAATGTTCGACGTTTTTGTATATACTTAAGTAGAGATCCAAATTTTAGTAATGTCAGTACTGAGCGGCATTGCCTAGACGTTTAGACCATTGGTTAGCATTCACGAGGACGCCGGTTCGATTCCGGGTCCGTCTACCTTGGTCCAAGTTTTTCTGTGGTTTCCTTGGATCACTTAGGCTAATGCTAGGGCAATAATATTCCACAGACAATCTTTCATTCTCTTCTGTTTTCATTTCGTCCGTCCCATTTTTCTCACTCGAACCACCACTCACCCATTCCTACGATTCCTGAAAATAGGCTGAAGAGGCTTTTCTGTCCTACCTTCCGGCATAGTCCGGAGGAACTGCCCGCCCACCGGTATTAGTGGCTGGTGGGAATGGAACACTCTAAAGTATGAAATAGTACAGTATTAATAATGTCAGTATAATTTCATTGCAGTTACACAATACCCATACAAATGCCCTATAGGGAGCGTTACACTGAAAGTTATCGAGCCCGATGTTGGTATGGTTCATGTACAAAGAAGAGAACTTCTTATCGGACAGTGTATAAAACCGAGGTTTGTATGAAAAGAAGGCTGTCGGGTCGGCCACTTTTCTTTGGTATACGGCCCAATTTAAAAGGCCATTTTTACATTACCTTATATTTCTATACAGTATAAAGTAAATAGGAATTTGATTAATACTACAATATTATTAAAAGATTGCATCTACGTCATCAAACCAATACAAAACGTCAAAAATTGGTCCTAGTTTGTGGTGTAGATTATTGGATGTAAATATGCAAACCAAGATGTATCACCGAACTGCGTAAAGGCAGAACACACCATTTTAATAACAGTTGATAGAGTCAAAAGTTTGCGTCAAATCGTGCTGTAAATTGTTGAATAGTTCATCCAAATTTCAAATCTGTAAATCAGTCAGCATTTTCTTTCAGTCAGTTACTATAACATCACCTTTCACCCCTATACGGATCGAAAGTAGAAAATTCCTTATGAGTACATGCTTAGAGTACTCTAGGAATAATCTTGCCAAATTGCTAATCTCTAGATCAACCGAGTTTAGACACTGCGTTGTCTATTAGTTAGTCAGTCAGTTACGGTTCTGCTTTATATACAGGGTGGTCCATTAAACGCGCCTTACTATCTAGCGGTCTTGCCGTTGAAATTGGAATATGGCTTCCCATTTGAAGAAAATGAGTTATTGTTGTTTGAAACATTTAAAATTTGAATGATGTAATATGCTCTGAAAGAAATTTTTAGATTGAAAGCCAAGTGTGTTTCATGCTCTTTTCAACAGAGGCAGCCGCATCTTTTTATCGACTATCACTGCTGAGATATTAAAATTTTTTGTAAGGTATTACAAACGTCAAATTTTCTAGAAATTACTAAATAACTCCAAAAAGATACCGCGCAGGCAAAACTTATGCTTTACAAACTGAATATTAAAATCGATGCTGAATTCAAAAATGCAATAATATACAGGGTGTTTCATTTAAAATAAAGTAGCTGATGTATTCTTCCGGTATATCCTGAAGTCTGCCATCTCTGAAATTACTTTCCGCAGATGGATTATTTAAAAAGAGACATTTTTTATTGGAAACATTTTTTTCCAATTTCAACGGCAAGACGTAAGAACTAGAGAGCAAGTCGTGCTTAATGGACTACCCTGTATACCTACAAACAGGTGGATTCTTTTATGATTCAAAATACGTGGATTCTTTAATGATTAAAAATCTGGATTTTTAGTCGAAAACATAAATTAATTTTATTTTAGAATACAGGATGGAAAACAATTTTTGAAATAATTTACTTCATACTTTCGCTGTTCACCGGAAATTTTACATTTTTTTGTTAACAGATAGTCACCAAGACTAGACCAAAACAGTTTTGTTGTAACGGATACAGAGGTACTCCAGGAGCATGTGAACCAATCTGCGACAACCCTTGCATTGGTTCAACATGCACCGCCCCCAATACGTGCACCTGTCACTACGGCTACAAACCAAATCCGAGCACTCCATACGAATGCAAACCTTCGTGTTCCAAAAACTGTACCAACGGCATGTGCAAGGCACCGGAAACGTGCACTTGCAACGACGGATATGAGACGGACCCCAACGATAAGTTCCTGTGCGTACCGCATTGCAGCCAGAAATGCGTAAATGGCATTTGTACGGATCCAGAAGTATGCACGTGTGATCCGGGATTTGGAAAAGACGAAATCGACAAATACAAATGCGTCCCTGTTTGTTCAAAACCGTGCGTTAATGGGAAATGTGTGGCTCCAGATTTCTGCCAATGCAACCAAGGTTATAAGATGAATTCCACAACGAACAAATGCAATCCCGTTTGCGATCCTGCATGTCCAAACAATGGACAATGTGTCGATCCGAACAGATGTGTTTGTAAGGAAGGATATGAAATGAATCCTGGTAATACTGACTGCATCCCGAGCTGTTCAAAACCTTGTATTAATTCCGCATGCACTAAACCAGAAGAATGCTCATGTCATTTGGGATACGTTAAAAGCAATGAAGACAAATACGTATGTGAACCAATATGCGACATTCCATGCAACAATGGTAATTGCATCGCACCAAATACCTGCACTTGTTTAAATGGTTATTCCAAAAACAACATCAATGCCACAGAATGTACACCAGTTTGTACTCAAACCTGTATCAACGGAAAATGCACCAATCCTGAATCTTGTACTTGCAATGAGGGATATCAACCTAAATCTTCCAATAAATACCAATGTGATCCAATTTGCTCAAAACCTTGTGCGAACGGTTTCTGCTCAGCGCCAAACACATGCTCCTGCAAAGAAGGATATATTCTGGACATTCAAGATAAATTTAATTGTCTTCCAGAATGTCCTGGAGGATGCGAGAATGGAAAATGCGTGGCTCCTGGGGTTTGTACTTGCTTAAAAGATTACACCCCTCAAAATAACACCAACACAACGAAATGTATCCCAATTTGTACTACAACTTGTACAAATTCGAAATGTACCGCTCCTGAATATTGCATGTGCCATCAAGGATATCAATCGAATCCTCCAAATAAATACAAATGTGACCCAATTTGCTCCAAACCTTGTAGAAACGGAATTTGTACAGCTCCTGAAATTTGCTCATGCAACGTAGGATATTCACTTGATGATGTGGACAAGTTTAATTGCGAACCTGTTTGTCCTCAAGGATGCAAAAATGGAAAATGTATAAAACCGAGCGTTTGCGTTTGCAATAAAGGCTACGACGATATGTCTAATTCGACCGGAAATTGCCAACCAATTTGTGAAAAAGGATGTCTAAATGGAGTGTGTACAATGCCAAATGTGTGCACATGTATTGAGGGTTATGTGAAAAATAGAATAAATAATTCAATATGTGAAATGGATTGTTCCAAACTTTGTCGAAATGGAAATAAGGATAACAAGGTGCACTGCCCAGAAAATTGTAGAGCAGCTGAAACTAATTTAGAAGTACCGCCTTTACTTACTTCAAGGTAACGCATTTTTGTGAACTTCTGATCTACTCAAAATAGGATTTCAGTTTTGTCTAAAGGTAAAAATATATGTATCAAAATAACAAAAACTAACTAGGTACGTAAAAAGTGAAACTTTCTATGAATCATTTTACATAGAAACCTAGAACTGCGTTATTTACAAATTCCAAAACTGTTGGTACACATTCCGACTACAGAAACCTTCCGTATTATCTTATCATTCTAAAATCTTTATTCCAATGACCAGTTTAACATGTATCTCCACTTCATCCCATTATCTGTATGAACCAATCTTCGCATTTCTTAAAAAACTACATGGACCTGCATCTCCAACCAGTTGCGAACAGTGATCTAATCTGCAGCTTTTAACTCCTGTTCCTACTTTGAATACATGTCTAACTAACTCATCTGGCCTATTTTTAATTGAATATCATGTCAGCTGTTCTTCTACTCTTTCCAATATCTCTTCATTTCCAACCTTCTCTATCCACGGTATCCTCATCATTCCCCTGTAACGTCATGTTTCACACGCTTCTAATTTTTTCTTTTTCACAGTAGTCGGTTATGCATTTCACACCCATATACAGTGATGATTCAAACATACAGTTTTAGTAAACTCTTTCGAATTTACAACTGATGGTGGACACAGAGATACCCGGCTGTGCACTATTCTGTGTGTTCTAACTCTAGCGTCTTTTCCGTCCTGTGTTATCTAACTCCATAAATATTGAAAAAGAAATAGAGGAGAAGAAAATAGTATCTTGAACATACTTATCTTTATTGAATTAGTTTAATGATCATCCAGAAAAGTCAGTTTTTCTTTGTAATTTAACAAAAACAAAAAATTAACGCTTTATAAAAACATACTAAATATGCATCTCATACGTTTAACAATGTCTTGTAACAGAAAACGTAGTAGAACATTAGAAAATGTCAAATCAACCCCTTTCCGTCATCATCATAGGTCCGTCAGTCTGATTAAACACACATCTCCACTCTTTTTTATCTTACTTAATCTTCACATTTCCCTAAAACTAACACACCGTACTTCCTAAACTGTTTATGAACAGTGGTTTGCTCCTCTTAACTCCTACTTATGCTTCTAATATGTTTCTAACTATCCCGTCATACCTGAAAAGGTGTCCTACCAACCTCTCTCGCCAATTTCTTATCGACTTCCATAGCGTCCACAGCATGTCGAACCCTGTGAAGTCCGTTTAAATGTACCTTTGCTGTTTAACAGAAATTGGTGATTTATCTGGACCATATTATCGTTTCAACGTAGCTGTATTGACATTATAGGATGCGACTAGTAAAAAAAGTACAGGTCGGACGAACGAAGCTGGCGAGTGGTCGCGCTGGCACTTGCCCATTTATAGCCTATTTGGGTAGATCACTCCGAAACGATACGCAAATAATTTTCCAATAGGCGTAAACTATTGTATTAATACAGATAGGACAGTAGCGTACTAGAAAATAATATAGAAACATAACTTACCAAAAAGAAATAAACCTAATGATTTTGTTTGTTTTGTAGTTAGTTTTCACATTCATTGTTCTCATCGGAATTACTATCACTGCCACCAACATCAACAATTAGTTCTTCTGTTTGTATGTCTATTACTTGCTCATTATTTAACATTTATATAAATCACGTTAAACTAAATTATTGCGCCTATTTCTTTTTTATATAAACTTTAAATATCTACA